TATGAAAATACTAAATTCACCACAAAACCCCCTCTGATCTATTCCACCCTAGTCAAATAATTCGTAATCATTGACAGAAGAAGGTCAAATGATTAGTGTAAGTTTTCTGCGAAGGACAATGTCAAACCGGTGTTGAATAGTATGTGAAATGAGATGTTTTCAAAATCCAACTATTGTTTTACATCACATGAATGCTATATGGATAGAAATTTATACCAACACCACTGGTCATAAGTCGGGATTGTCATTGTCGAAATGACAACACTGTCTAACCTTAGAACAATCGTTAGGCAGGCAAACTGCTTTAAGATATGCTATAGATGATAAGCATTAGGCAATACATAAGGACTTAGTGATTTCCTCGTCAACATTGTTTTGGTTGCTTACTCATGTAACCGCAAAATTAGATCAGATGTCAATTTCATAAAGAAGAGTGACTGCTATTGTTGGACAGCAAATAATATTTTATTAATGTACAGCAATCACCACTCACATGTGCATTGATTGCAAAGCGAAATAGAACATATGTCTAAAACATTGAATCGCATTGGTAACCGAGATAACATAAATATTTGATGAAGTGTAATATTCCGTTGGCTGCCGAAAGTCAGATGAAATCATTTATAACAAGTGAGAAGTAGTTTGTCTGGTGCACTCAGGAAATGTCGATTCACTACTGATCACTCTTTCATCTCTACATAAATGTCTGGTGCACTCAAACGAATCGACGACACAACTGTGCATACATTGTGGAACTACTTCCTACATTATAAGAATGTTACACTTACTTTGAATACTCAATAGCCGAGTATATAATGATTGTATTCCACTTGTATACTCCTAAGAAAACAGAAAATTTTAATTGATAGTCTTAGAAGGTTTCCGGATTTTCTCGCTTTCGAAACATACAATATAATCGATCGACTGTTATAGAAAAGTAACAGAATTCTAGTGTCACTGAAGTTTTGTTCACAAATCTTTGAATGGCGAAACATTTGGCAATACAACCCTTCAGATCCTACATGTAATGAATCATCTTGTTCACACTGACCAACATGACTAACACTGTATATGTCATCGACCAGTTACGATACTGTTCTAAATTCTTGGACGTAGTAGTTGGAATGATTCACAGGAAAGTGAAGGGATTCATATGTTTTACTTTCGAGTTTAACTATAACTTTAGAAGTCATGTGTTAGAACCTTCGTTTAAATTTAAACGAATAATTCCTTATACACTGAAAATAGTTTAATCAGAATTGCATAATAATGATTGATGAAATCAAATTATTTCGAGAGTACAATTCCTAAAGCGGATGACTTCCTATGGTGGACGGTTTTGGGATTCGTTATTAGCTTTATAGTGACTTAGTCAGACTGACCTGTAATCGTAGTCACTGATAATCTATGGAACGGATTAATTTTTGGAGAACCATTGAAGTGAATACAGTGAAATAAATGTGGAAGACATTTCATAACATTATGGATACTGTTTTAGCACACGCTTACACAGATATTATTCATACACAGATAATATTTCATCTTAGCTATGACATACTCATCTTGTGTAATCATTATGTAAAGGCACACATGGACTCAACGATGATGTGAATGTGTTATATCACATCGACTGTATTAGTTAATCAATTGACTCAAGCTACTCAACAACTGAAAACTTCGTGTAGACGAACTTATTCCACCACAATGATTGGTTGCACACTTTTGTGACCAGATTGGAATATATTCTCGTTCTCACTGGTTAACGGATTTTCAGACTTTTTGAGAATTCTTAAATTTATAGGTCTGTCAGTCGTAGCTTCGTCTCTGTTTATTCATTGATTAATCAACACCTGAAGTGAAGACTAGTTTTCGGGAATTGTAACACACATTTTAGATTTTTTCGATCATAATTTTAGCACGTATAGCACGATCAAAGTTTTATAACGATTCCTTTCCTATAACATTCAATTAGTAACCGTCTGGAACGAAGTGCTGACCAAAGTAGACATGAAAAACTCGAAATTGTATTCATGAGAAACGTTTTGAGAGAATGATGGTATTATCATCGTTATCCAAGGTCAAGATCAAAAGAAACTAGTTTCGTTTGAAGTGAAAATCTTTGATCTCTCAATATTGACGAGAACAAACACTGAGTCAAGCTAATTAAAATTTAATGAACTGATTATATATATATAATAATTAATAGATAGATGGATAGATAGATCTGTTGAAAGGACGTTTCATACCGCCAAGCTACATATAATTTTCACAACCAAACCAGCACTGGAACAACTGATCAAGGATAGTTTACCGAAGATGGGATCCTCAATGTGTGTAACAATTCAACTGCTCCTATGCAGCTAGTTAAATAGTCTGTACTCAGATGTTTAATTCATGCGTGTTGGTGAATATGTACCATCATGGTTTGAAAAAGGAGTCGTCAAATCAATTGATGGCAGCATCACTTCTCACTTGGTAGATTGTGAATTTCATATTGAAATGGAGAAAGCTTTATCTGTTTTATATCAAGTTCCGAAAAATCTACCTCATCGAGAGCCAGATTACGATTACACTACATGAGAGAAACCATCTGGATCAACTCCAGAAAACCAAACTAATGTATCCAGAAAGAGTATATAAAACCTCTTTGTTTACCTTAGCTCATGGCTGGATCACCGATTACCTAAACTGAATATCATAAAACACTTACACCCCCTACTTTCTTTTGATTACTTCTATCTTAGTCTTCACATCCATCATTCCCAATTCGTTTTTCACAATTACCTTGATAACACATCTCTGATTACGTATTTAATCACATAACAATATTGTTATGATTATCATTGTAGTGAACAAGAACACAAGTGTAGACAATCGAACGTATTGTGAGCACACAATTACAGAATATTTCACTAAAATCTGACAACCATACAGTAAATAGTTAATTTGCAAACTATTAATCTATAGTCTCAATCTTGACTGTTCCTTTTGCAAATATCAATCCATCGTCTCTGAATTCATTGTTCATACATTATCATATCAATTGCGTTCGGTTCCTGTCCCTTCGTTATACACGGTCTTCTATTGAAATACACTCAATGTCCGACCATCGTTATATACTACTTGCATGGATATAAGTAAAGTTATTTGAACGTTGATGAATTGACCATACATATAAATAATAATTAGTAGATAGATGGATAGATAGATATGTGGATAGATTGGTTATCACGATGAATGAAATAAGTCGTTCATTCGTCAATTCGTACTCTGTGTAAACTGTGACAAGTCCCTGATTTCCACATTCGAATGCGAGTCGTGGATGCACATTGTTGAGAATTCCCAAATTAGAAAGAACCTGTAGTCCAGTACCACCAGTTTCTCCATGGAAGATCACCTTTGATCAGTTCGTCATTTAAACTGATAATCTGACAAATTTTATCGAGGATACGTTGATTGTATGACAGATATGTTTACAGATTCAAAAAATTGAACTTCATTCATAGTTCAGATAAATGTATACATCAGATGGGATGCGACATCGAATTCGCTGTTGTGATTCGAATAGGTTAGTTGTGAAAAGTAAAGGTTGGTATAGATATGGCTCAAATAATATTCTAAAGACTTTCTACGACTGACAAACAGCATTATAAATCACACTTGAAGCGCAAAGCCAAATCACGATTCCCTTATCAGTAAGTGTTAAATTAACTTCATGGAGCTGTGACAGGATTTGTTTACAGAAAGTAACCACACTGCAAGCTCCAAGAGCCAGGCCTCTACTAGGAAAATGACAAACTTAATTAAACTTCTCGTAACATCAATTCAGCGAATCCTCAGTCTTCATTTCATAAACAAAGGATAAGTTCTTTGGGAAAATGCTTTTATTGAACATACATATTCAGTGAGAATTGTCGACAACAACAGAAAGATCAATATTCAAAAACAATCAGCTACCTATCTTATGCTATTCAGCTGCACTTGTATACACAATTTGTAATTTACAATTTGTAATTTACAAGCTATTCATTGAACTAAAATTGTCGCTGTCCTCCAGTTGTTTCATATTAGCCAACAATCCAAAGAAATATCACTCACATCTTACCATTTGCATAGATATTAATAAATTCAACTCTCCATATGGAGTCTGATACATAAGTAGTTCATTTAGCATTTTAACCAAAAAAGTTCAGGTTCATTGTTTATCTTAATTGATCACATACACAAAATCAGTGTTGGCTATGAGAGCGCGTGATGAGAGTAAAAGTATTTATTACTATTCAATAAGGAGTTCCGACGATGTAGAAAAAATTTCATTGTTTCTGCTGAATCTAACCTAACGAGAAACAGACTAGAAAATAAAGTAAGCATAGCGATTATCAGGCGAATAGTTGATTCCGATTACGCTATCGCAAATATCATCACCTAACAACAATGATGTTATTGGTATAAATTTATATTTAAACTATTCATTTCAATGTAATTGACGAGTAGTCATTTGAATAATGACAATGATAGCTTGTCAAGTCACATCCAAGTTGAGTTATTTTCTAACACCAACCGGCTCAGTGGTCAGTCGGTTAAGGGCTTTGGTTCGAGACTGGTAGATCCTGGGTTGGAATCTCGTGAGGTGGGATCGTGGATGCGCACTGCTCAAGAGTCCCATAATAGTACAATACGGCCGTCCAGTACTTCCAGGTTTTCCATGGTGGTCTAGCTTCAATTGACTCATGATTTCAACTATGAAAATACTAAATTCTCCACAAAACTTCTTCTGATCTGCTGAATATATCCTAACAAGTGACAGACTAGAAAATAAAGTAAGCATAGCGATTATCAGGCGAATAGTTGATTCCGATTACGCTATCGCAAATATCATCACCTAACAACAATGATGTTATTGGTATAAATTTATATTTAAACTATTCATTTCAATGTAATTGACGAGTAGTCGTTTGAATAATGACAATGATAGTTTGTCAAGTCACATCCAAGTTGAGTTATTTTCTAACAAGTTCCATTTCAACAAGCACATGTTCATTCCTTAGATCAGTTGGCAAGTATATAGACAATGTATTTCCCTTCAATTCAGTAGTTAAATTGTTTGGATTCAGATTGATTGAATATCCATTTGGATAATGTACAGATAATGGTATGTAAATTTCTGCAATCAAATTCTGTTTCTCACTGTACTGATTGCTCAGTTGGTTTGTAATGAAGGAGAAACTATATTCTCCAGTTTCATGATTGAAATGTTGCTTGACAAATCTCCCATTTGTTGACTGTGGATAGGGACGAATGAAAGACCGTACCTGTGGATGTGAGGGAGAAAATGTGAGAATGATGAACAGTAAGAAATAGTATATTGGATCATACTGATTACGAGCTATTCGAACTATTCGTGCATATGCAAATCGGTCATCACGTTTACTCAGTTTCAAACAAGCAATACAGTCTTGTTGGCTTTTAGTGTAGTTATTGAACTGTCAGAACTGCAATCCATATCAAAATGATTGTTGCGGCGAATACCCAATGTATTAGTCTACAGTCAATAACTGAGTGACACCTTCTGAACGATTCGGTTGAGCTAATATAGCACAAGACATATAACGTGGACATTTCAGTTCTCAAAGATTTGCCATCATTCTAGATAAACGCTTGACTTCATTCGTGCTGCAAAGGTCTTGTGTCGTCAGTTATATTCAACAAATTCGCTACAAACTTGAATTTTGAACAAAAATATTATTGAACAATTAGGTTCGAAATTTGATTACCTGAGTTTGAATAGGATTTCCTGCATTATCTATAAAGTATCCATCCCAAAATGTCCATGATTCAAAATGTTTATCAGCTTCATCCAATACCGCATTACATTCTAGTGTGTTGACACTAGATGGATTTCCATCATCTCCACACAAACCAAATTCAGTTAAAAATCTACCACCTCCAGTCGTTTTTGTTGCTTTAATTACATTGGAAATCACAGTTGGTAAGAGGAACTAAATGAAATTTGAAAGGTAAATGGATTTGCATGATTGTTTATTGATAGTATAAGATCAGTGAGTAAGATGATGTTTCACTTGGATGAATGAGTCAAAGTGAGAAAATATCGGGAATGACGAAAAAACTACCTACATCTAAAATGCAAATAGTATTTCACACAACCACAAAAGGGTGAGAGGCATGTCATATTGGACTCTGACATTGAATATTTCCTTGACTAATTGTGGACATGAATTTCTGTTTTCCAAGAGACCGATATTCGTGAACAAATGTTCGTTTCGCAATTGAAAACCACACCTTGATACTGATAGTTTGATTGTAAGAGTCAGTATTTTTTTGACGATACTATTCGTGACTAATTTGATTTTGCGATAGTGGTGAAATAACTGTTTCATCGCTTCGGTTCTAAATGCTTGACCATTCACGTTCGAATTATGGTGTTGACTATGAAATTTCAAATACCTGACAAACACACATATTGGCGACGATCACGTGTGCTCTTCCAAAGGATAACTCAGTGTAGACTGGATTATCTGTATCGTGCAAACCAGCTCCAATATATACACCATTCATAGACGTGAAGGTGCACGTATCTGTTTATTTCCAAACAGAGAGGAAACTATATTTCACATTGATATGCTAGTGACCATCTGAACTACAGAGAATGCTTTGTTACTTTTGATATCAAAATTTGTTTTTAAGTGACTTCACTGAGTTCATTCCTGCAAACTGTGACTTATGCCAAAAGAAGAATATCTCTTGTAAAACTGTTATGACTATCTAAGAATGGGTAGTCAACACTTGAACACGTAAAACAAGTAGGTGGAACATTGAATGAAAGCAACAGTGTGACATATTTACAAGGGAAAATTCATCAAACAACTCCCATCCTAAGTGTCCAATGAATTTGGCAAATTAGTTACAAAATCAGGCTTATCTTGAAAGAGCTGGTTACAACTAACTATTTGATTCAGCCTTTATTTATTAATTCTGATCAACTAAAGTTATCTGAGCGATGATATATGGACAACAGTTTAACAAATAATTCAGGAAAACTAACAATTTAGAAGAACTTGAAATTTACCGAGTCACATAACACTTTCTTCCACAAAGGCATTATGGAGTTCGGATAATCACTCTGTAGTATCCAACAATAATAATGGTAAGACAAAACACTTTTACTCGGTGCTGATTTGTCACGATTCGCTCCAGGAACACGTCCAAATCCAGTCCCTAACCATCCTGAGGTGCTTAGAGGAGTAAATATACCATATGTAACTGGTTCATAGAATATCAATGTTGACTTGTCATATTTACGTATTCTCTCAACAACATAATCGTAAACTGGTAGTAGATTATATCGACCAGCATAACCTGAAATCAGAAAATCCATCATACTAACATGACACAATGACTTTTGTCAAAATCAAATAGTATAATACACAATCAATGATCCAAATTCGTTTGTCTCATGAATGTACTGTATCTTATAATGTTAGTGGTGTCCCATTGATTATCAATAGCAACCTAAATAAGATTCTATTTCAAATGATATTCAGTTGATCGAAAGACAAAAGTCACGATGTGGTGATGATTGCCTCTTAGGGAGAGCACATTTCAGCTCCTTCGAGGGCTATTGTCGGGACTAAGCCTGTGTAAAAGAGGGTGGTTGGACATGGGGTTGGAAACCTCATCCAGTTGAAAACCAACCAGCTAAAAAGAAGCTAACCAGAATAGAATTTTCCATTCAAATTGAAGTTTTAAACTCACTTCTCATAAAAAAATGATATTTCCATTTTAAGCAAAGATGGATAGTGGCTAGCAGTGGAATCCAGTTTCACGCGCGTTTCATCCTATTTGAACTCATTAGCTGGATATACCTGCATCTCAGATTTGATGTTCACTCTGAGACTCGAACCCAGTATCTTTTGCTTCAAACGTCATCACATTATTCACTGTCACTGAGTCCTGATATTTTCATTTACTATTATTGTTGTATTTAATAGAGTTGAGATCATTAGTCAATTGAAGCTCGATCATCAAGGAAAACCTGGAAGCACTGGATAGCTGTTTCGACGTACTGTGGTACTCCTCAGCAGTGCACATCCACAATCACGCACTCGCGAGATTCGAATCAAGTACCTATCAGTCTCGCGCCATCGCACTTAAGCGACAGACAACTGAGGCGGCATCCATTGGTGTTAATGTCTTACTTCAACCAATCCACGAAATCGAGCGACCATTCAATGATGTCGTTAGTGAGTTGATATTTCCTAACGGTCCTGGTTGAACTCCACTGGTTACTACTTCTCTTTAGAACTCTAGGAAACACCTCATGGAGCTAGTCACTAGTTGTTGTCATTAGTTCGTAACAAAATTGATGGTCCTAAGGCAATAAATTTCGCCGTACTTAATCGTATATTACTATGAAATTCATATTAGATTTTAGTCGACTTACATTCCAACTAGGTACTTAATAAATTCAACTTAGTATTGTTACTTCGAATCTTCCCACTGATGTTTAGGACTGCAACTGGTCAGTCTCTTATTGACATATGTGCATACTGAGCGTATGTCCTCGATAAAGCCTTAATTCACAAACATGGTAAGCAAAGATGGATAGTGACTAGCAGTGGAATTCAGTTTGACGCGCGTTTCGTCCTATTTGGGACTCGTCAGCTGGATGTACCTGCATCTCAGAGTTGATGTTCACTTTTCTGAACTCGAATCCAGTACCTTTCGCTTCAAACGTCATCGCATTATCCATTCGGCCACTGAGTCCTCATAGCCACTTGCTTGTGCAATGGGGTGAACTTTAAATCCCAAATACTAAATACACATGACGTTTATAAATACTCATAAACACAAATCTATTCACTTGACATCTGAAAATAGTAGTAAAATTTAAGAAATTCAACTTTACCTGGAAACCCTCTTAATGGATTAGTATAAAAATTTCCAGGTGGAGGTTCATTAATCAAATCATAACCAAGTACATTCGACTTTTTTCCATAATGTTTTGCTACTATTTCCCAAAAATCACCCCAATGATTCCAAGCACCTGATACATTCTCATATAATTGTTGTGCACCTTCAGAACATTCATAAGTTAAATAATATGCTCCTTCCCAATCTGGTAACTTTTTATATGGCCATGGTTCTTGCAAAATGGTTGGTGGTCTTTTAAATTGATTAATTAACCATAATGGTATACCATCATAAGTACCATATCGACTTGATAAACCATCTTGATGCATATCCAAGATCACATATATTCCATGTTCAGCATATAAATCAATCAGGCTTTCCATTACATTTAAGTATGTCGTGTTCACTATGGATATATTCGGTTTTACTCCACTCCACATAATACCTAATCGTATAACATTTAAACCCCAATTTTGAAACATTTTTATCTGTGTAATATTCCATGCATTTTCTTGATACCATGGAAAATATTTTTCAACATTATTAAATCCTCTAAACAGTTTAATATATCCAAGGTGATCCATGAACATTCCATCATGATTTAGATGAATTTTACTAAGAGGAATAGGTTCTGTATAAACTGATGACCAGATAAATATAAAAATGATTGTGGACCTCATTGAATAATTCATTTTTGTTGTCAGGTAATACATATCTACATATATATATATATATCCATATATATGATAACCTACACACATTCAAATCATACCATTTGTGATTATAGTCTAAATGACTAGGGGGGTGATCACGCTATATTAATAACCTTGTATAATAATAATCAAGATCAATAATTTGATTCGAGTTATGCTCGGCCCATTGCACAAGCAAGTGGTTATCAGGACTCAGTAGCTGAGTGGATAACGAGATGACGGGCGAGATTAAACTCTATGGACGACCTTTGATCAAACCTTAAATGACCTTGAAAAATATTAGCCAATCAGAAGACAGTTAGCATACAGTAAAAATATATTATACAAATTTAAAAAATTAAAGCGGATACTGTTCTTTTACACGAATCAAAACCTTCACAAGTTCAGATATGGATTCACAAGTTCGAAAATCATTGTGCATACGGTACAGGAATTCATCCATATGGCTGCATAGTAGTCGACCTCTGAAGCCATGAGAAGGTTTCAAAAATTCTTTTAGCCTCGACCACATAGCTTTAATGTTGTTGGTATGGTTAAGGGTTGAGGTTTAGGTTAAGGGTTAGGGTTAAGGTTAAGGTTAAGGGTCAGGGTGTAAGCCTAGACCATTGAGCCGGCGAACTGGTAAGGAGTCCCGTAATAGGACAAGACGGCCGTCCACTGCTTCGAGGTTTTACATGGTGGTCTGGCTTCAAATGACTTTAAAAAATGTCCATAAAATCCCCTTCTGATGTACTCTACCTTAAACATGTCCAATTTTTTGTGGATCAATAATTTGGATTTATAATTGCAGAACCGAAATCCGAGTCACTGTAGATTTTCAAAAAACAAACAGTCACTTTCCATATCTCTTCATAAAACTGGAACTATCAATACTTTCACTGTATGAATCTTTCTCCCTTTATCATTCCTCTGTTAGTATCAAATGTCTATCAACTGTCTGATCTTTTGTGGACATCTGAATAAGCACATATTTGCCATTTTCCGAATACTTCTAGTTTTCTACAGTGGTTCATAATATGTAGGTGTTCTGTTGTTTTATAAATTGGAACATATCTTTTCAGTTAATTCAAGTTTTAAAATTTATGATGGACTTACATTTTAAAAGCCACTCATGCATACGAGAACAATTGAAAATCGTATTCAAGAGGTAATTAATTCTAGTTAAAAGCATGAGTCAATTGAAGCTTGACTACCAAGGAAAATCTGGAAGCCCTGAACGACCGTCTCGTCCTATTATGGGACTCCTTAGCAGTGCGCATCCACGACCTCGCCTCGCGAGACTCGAACCCAGGACCTAAGAGTGTAGCGCTAGCGCTTAACTTCTAGCACCACTGAGCCGGTCGGCATTCGATGGTGTTTGTGTCTAACTTTAACCAATCCACGAAGTTGAGCAACCTTTCATCAATTGTCTTCAGTGAATTCCAACAGATGTGGTTTGAAATCCACTGGTCACTGTTTCTCACTCCTTGGTAGTCTAGCTTCAATGCACTCATGCTTTCAACTATGAAAATACTGAAATCTCGATAAAAACCGTTCTCATTATAATTCTAGTTAAACATAAAACAGTTAAGTCAGTTAAACATTCACAATAAAACGATTAGCTAATTTTCCATATTCAGTAAACACTAGCTGAGTGAACAAACTAAATCACCATTTGTCTTCAACAGCAAACACAATTGTAACAACCGTTTCTACGTGCTAAAGTGTGTCTGTGGCAGTTCCTGGGATTCTTGGAGTACTAAAAGTTATATTCAAATATCGTCTTACAATTCTGTTTTGGAAATCGTATAAAGTGTAGAATTCAATAGCTTAAAAACCAATTATGAAATGAAAGTCTTAGTCATTCAATGTATTAAACATCCGTTCAGCGTTCAGTTCACTGTTTATTTTACTACTACACTTGATGCCGACTGTATATTCGATGACAGTTAAGGGAAAATAAAAGGCTTAATTGTGTTTAACATGGTTAACAGTGTAAAAATTGAATACATGGTAGTAAGTTTTGTATAATGTAGGCGCTACTTTTATTTTAAACAGGATAACTGATCTAGTATAACACTTACTAAATCATACTCATCGTTGGCTTAACGTTTTCTTGAGTACTGTTGTGTAGTTCAGCACAAATTCTATTTATGTATTAACAAACCAATGTACTTTTCTATGTTAATTCATGATGAAATTCATAGAGAATTGATGGATGTTCTGGGTGTGCAACTTTTCTTTTCAATCCGTTCTGAAGTAAGTTTATACAGATGACGTAAGACATTTTCAATGTTAACATTCTTTCAATTTATTTCGACGAAAGTATAAAGGTGAGAGAACTATTAAAATCTTGGTAAGCAAAGATGAACGTGTAAAAGTAACTGAGTACAAACGTTATCCAAGAGGGCAAGAAAACGCTTCAGTAGACTTGCAGTGCTGAAAACAAAGATAAAATATTTATCGATTGTCCTTCAAAAGAATGACTACCTATACAATCTCACCAAAAAATATCAATCGAACACGTCAGTAGAGACGAAGTCAGTACACAAACCAACAAACGGATAATTCTACCAAGATATATCAGAAATAACAAATTTACTGTTGTTTGAGCAACCGTTTATCAATTGTCCGGATCGTGGATGCTCCCACAATAGAACGAAACGGCCGTCCATTGCTTCCAGGTTTTTCATGGTGGTCTAGCTTCAATTGATTCACGCTTTCAACTATGATAATGCATATTTGTTTGTTTGAATTGAGTGGAATACATTTTCATAATCGTATTTGAATTCGTAGTACTTTCCGACGAATGATTGTTTCAATAGTTAACCATCAAAGGTAAACAATGATGTAGACTTTGTTTATCTAGTTATAAATTACACTAAATTTGTTATTCGTCTGAATATGATCCTACTTGAGTAAATAAACAATCCACAATTAGAAAAGTATTTTAGTTTTTTTTCTCTCGTTTTTTACTTAGTGTAGAAATAACAGATCTGTCTACATTTGACTGATTAAATCTCATTATTGATGTTGACTCTGTTTGGCGGAATCGTGGATGCACACCTCTGATAAAGCTTGTATAAGACGTATGGCGACATCTTTCTCATGTAATACATGTACGAGATAAAATCGTGAAATAATGAATCCGGTTTTTCTAATGATTCCCTAGAGGTTCAAAGTGATATTGGAATCACCGAACAGCAAATGCTTCATAGAATAATCTCTATTCCATTCCAGTGACACAGTGGGTCTCTTTTCTTAGAAATCTGACACTTCTTCACAAACGATTCTATCCTCTTTTACTTAATTTTCCATTGTTAATTCAGTTGAAAGTTATTCAGAAATGAACGTTGAAAGCGAAGATCCAGTTTAAGTATAACTGCAACAAAATATTTTGTTGATTTGAATAAAGCTATGACATTCTGAGCGTCGTGGATGTGTACATACATTGATGACTGGTAATAGAAATATACTCAACAAAGTGCGTGGATATTTGTCTTTGTGTTCACTCAAACACATCAGTGTAAATAAACAGTATGCTATTTGAAATACGGAATCAAACTGATCTATACAGTATTCTGTCAGTGAGTGAAACCAACAAAGATTTAAATATAACATCAGAAGTTTAGCTCAGGCGATGATTGTAACAAATGATCACAATACCTAGATACATTTGATGAGCAAAATCTATAGTTTACAATCCTAAATAGCAAAGAATTTCAGTCAATCAGTCAATCAGTTACAACGTGGAACTTCGTACTTCCGTACATCTGTTCGAGTTGCCATAGTCAGCTTATTTCTTTCTTTCGGTTAGTGAACCACAAATTTCAGTAGTACCCAATATAAAGTATTCTATCGTAATAAATAATTATGTATTTGAAGATGCTTTTAAGTTGTTTGATTGCACAAATAATTTGCCTTTGCTTCGTTTGACACAACAATTCATAGATGCAACAACAGATCACATCACTACTGAAGGAATCATTAGTCCGACAGAAAATGTGACTCACCCAATGCTCACTGTACAAGATATCTATAGAATAGGAAATGAAACAAAACGTAAGCTAACCTATCAGTATTACTGAATGAGAATAAGGTTTTCTTTATCTATACAAACCTTATAAGTAAATTATCTACTCTCCCCCTTTCTTTTTCTTCTGGTGATTGACTGGATTATGAAGTCATCTCAAGGGGAAAAATGGAATACAATGGACATCTCATAATCAATTAGATGATTTGACTTAACAGATAACCTGGCCGTCCTATCACATAAAAACGAACGAATACAGACGAAGATAGGAAAGTAGCGGCATCCTCTGCATGAATAGGCTTCTAAATACACAAAGGAAAAAGCAAGATTTTCAAATACAACACGGAGAACAACAACCCAATCACATTTGATGGAGAAACTCTGAAAGAGGTGGAAACATTCACGTACCTGGAAAGCATCGTTCATAAACAAGTAAGATCAGATGCACATGTAAAGGCAAAGATTGGCAAAGCAAGGATCGCATTTCTACAACTGAAGAACATATAGAACTCAAAACAACTGTCAACTGAACTCACACTGAGAATCTTCAATACGAACGTCAAGACAGTCCTACTGAACGGAGCTGAAACGTGGAGAACTACTACATCCATCGTCAAGAAGGTACAAGTATTTACAAACAGTTGTCTTTGCAAAATACTCAAAAAAATTGGCGGGATACTATCAGCAACAGCGTTTTATGGGAGACGACAAACCAACTTCCAAATGAAGAGGAAATTAGGAAAAGACGTTGGCAGTGGATTGGACATACGTTACGGAAATCCCCAATATGCATTACGAGGCAAACTCTAACGTGGAATCCGGAAGGGAAGCGGAAAAGAGAAATGCCATAGAACACATTACGCCGGGGAATAGAAGTAGATATAAAAAGGATGAATGTTAACTGGGAAGAACTGGAAGGCATTGCCCGGGACAGAGTACGGTGGATAGTATGAAGGCGTAAGATAGT